AATGATACTCATGTTTGGAAAAATATACATAACTTTTTTATGTAGTCTGATATATGAAAGTGAAATAAAAATGAAATAAAGACGGAATAATTGGACACACCAATTAATAACGGAGTTCGGTCAAAATTGCCTACGTCTCCGGACTACTGTAGATATTTTACTGAGAGAAAAGAAAATACACAGGTGTTTACAAAGCACTCTCAAAACACTCAACCATCAACCCAATTACACCCAGAAACTAGATTATTTTCTTTCTGCTTCTTGCTGGCTAACTCTTGTAATGGTTGCTTTGGAATTGGATGATAGAAATGAGTGAAGTGAAATAACATTTTATAGCAAAAGGAATGGTTCTTGTGCATTTAAGGTTTTCCAATTTTTCTTGTCTCCAACCACTTACCATCCAACCACTTGCCAACCAACCACTTCCCACCTTTTTTTTACTTTTCAAACACCAACAATCTCCCACTTGAGGACTGATTTCAATCTGTCCTCACACCTTGATTAATGATGTAGTCTTCTCTGGTCTGCTACTCTTGCAAGCCAACTGAAGTTGAGCACAACTTCAGTTTGTCAATGGTCACCACCTTCATTAGCATATATGTTGGGTTCTTGCTTCCTACAATTTTCTTCAATGTTAACACCTCATCCTCAAGTAGAGATCTGATGAAATGATAACGAATATCAATGTGCTTGGTTCTAGAGTGAAATGCTGAATTCTTTGCCAGATGTATTGCACTCTGACTATCACTATGCAAAACACTCCCTTCTTGAGTGAATCCCAGCTCTGCTAACAGTCCTTGAAGCCATATCAATTCATTACTGGTTTTTGTCACTGCTACATACTCAGCCTTTGTAGTGGATAAAGCAACAATTTTTTGTATTCGTGACATCCAACTAATAGTTGTAGTACCAACCGTGAAAACATAACCGGTGGTGCTTCTTCGGTGATCAACTTCACCTCCAAACTCTGCATCTACGTAGCCCTGTAATCTTAGATTTCCTTTTTCCAAAACACAGACATTTTTTTGTTGTTCCTCGTAGATATCTTAGAATCCACTTGACGGCTTCCCAGTGAGCCTTTCTTGGATTTGCCATAAACCTGCTCACAACTCCCACTGCATGGCCAATGTCTGGCCTTGTACAGACCATTGCGTACATCAAACTTCCAATGGCTGAAGTATACGGAACCTTAGCCATAATTTCTTCTTCTTCCTTTGTTTGAGGAGATTGATCCTTGGATAGACGAAAATGACTGGCCAAAGGTGTATTGACTGGTTTGACCTTGTTCATGTTAAATCTTTGCAAAACACGGTTGATGTACTCCTCTTGAGATAACTGCAAAACTCCTTTTTGCTTATCTCTCGTGATTTGCATTCCAAGAATCTTCTTTGTTGGTCCTAAGTCCTTCATGTCAAATTCCTTTGACAAGTTGCATCTTTAAATTTCGATATCCCTCATATTTGAACCTACTTACTAACATGTCATCAACATAAAGTAACAATATGATATAAGCTGGACTTATACCTCTTGAAGAAACAACGGTGATCGGCATTGCACTTCGGAAACCTTCCTTGTGCATGAAGCTTTCAAACTTCCCGTACCCTTTGTCTTGGAGCTTGTTTCGGACCAGTACAAGCTCTTCTTCAATTTGCACACCATATCCTTCTTTCCTTCGAAAATCCTTCGGGTTGGTGCATGTAGATCTCCTCATCTAAGTCTCCGGTGGAGAAATGCGGTCTTCACATCTAATTGCTCTAGGTAGAGTTCTTCACTAGCCACAATACTTAACACTATTCTGATAGTATTGAGCTTTACGACTGGAGCAAAGATTTCAGTGTAGTCAACTCCTTCTTTCTGCTGAAATCCTTTGACAACTAGTCGGGTTTTGTATCTCTTGGAACCATCATGGTCTTCCTTCACCCGATACACCCATTTGTTGTGAAATGCTTTCTTTCCCATGGGTAACTTGACTAGTTCTCATGTCTGATTGGAGATCAGAGACTTCATCTCTTCTTTCATGGCAAACTCCCACTTGCTAGCATTTGTGGTTTGACAAGCTTCTATATAATCTTCGGGCTCCCCTCCATCAGTCAGCAACATATAGTCCATGTATCTCCTGTTTGGCACATGAGGTCTAAAGGACCTTCTCAATACGGGAGTTGGAGTAAGAGGTTACGGTTGCACATCACCTTCTTCAATTGATTCCTCCGGTGAGGATTCCTCACTATAGGATTTTCTAGGACATCTTCCACTTACGCAAAAGCTGGCCCACTCGATTCGAATTGCTAATACTGTTTTATGCATATCCTTGTACAACACTCTTTCATTGAAGATTACATCTCTGATGCGGATCATCTTTTTGTTTTCATCATCCCATATGCGGTAGCCATACTCATCTTCACCATAACCAATGAAAGTGCACTTCTTTGATTTTGGATCAAGTTTGTTTCTACCTTGATCAACGATATGGACATATGCTTACACAGTAGAAAACTCTAAGATGTGAGAGTTTTACCTCTTTTCTGCTCCATACCTCTTACGGTATTCAGTGCTCCAATGAGTACCGATGGACTTCGGTTGATCAAGTAAGCTGTTGTGTTAACTGCTTCTACCCAGAACTGCTTTGGTAAGCCTGACTGTACACGCAAGTTTCTGGTTCTTTCAGTCAACGTTCGGTTCATACGCTCAACTACACCATTGTGTTGAGGCGTACCGGGCATGGTCCTCTCCATTCGATTTCGTGCTCATAGCAAAACTTCTTGAATGCGGGTGTCTACATATTCACCACCATTGTCGGATACGAGCTTCTTAATCTTCAATCTTGTTTCATTTTCTACCATAGCTTTCCAAATCTTGAAAGCTTCAAATACTTCGACTTGTGTTTCAAAAAGTAAATTCATACCTTTACGGAGTGATCATCGATAAACGTCACGAAGTATTGCTT